ACAACACGCAGCCGTGCTGTGACAGGGGCAAAATAATCTGACGGTGCCCAGCTCTCTTCAGGCTGTTTTTTTTTTTCCCCAAGAAGTCTTCTCCTACACGGTTGCTACCGAAAAGCAAGAAAGCCACGTTTACTCTGCTATTTAACATAGAGCTAATGCTTTTTTTAAAGCGTGGCGTGAAGTGAACGAAACAAAATCTAGAAATTGGGTAAATTTTCATTTGAACACCCGAGCGTCATTCACTGCTGATCTATTTTCTTTCAGAAATTAGTACGCGCTTCTGTAAAGCGATTTTTTTTTTTTTTCTTAATTTAAGAAGAAATTTAACTTTCAAATATATGTAAACATCGACAAATAAAAGAATAACAAAAAAACACCTAACCCTAATTTGAAAGTTAACTTTCTTCTTAAAAAAAAAATACTTTGTTATTCTTTCATTTGTCGATGTTTACATATATTTGAAAGTTAACTTTCTTCTTAAAAGTACAAAAAAAAAAAAAAAAAAAAGAAAATTGCTTTATGGAAGCGCGTATTAATTTCTACACGGAATTACTGTGAAGGAAGTAAATAGGCCCAAATTGTATCCGTCCACCAACAAAATTCAGCACTGAATTACTTATCAATAAGCCAGTAATGGCTGACGAAAGACCAGGAAAAAGTCCGATTTTTTTCGGGTCGTTAACATCCAAAAAGGTAGATTTCTTCAATATTTAATTGTTGATTTGAGTTCAGCATATACATTTGCATGGAAATAAGACTATTTTGGAAAAATTTGAAGGGATATTAGCGCTCGGGTGTTAAAATGAAAATTTACCAGAAATTGAACTGGACACGCTGTATTCATTTTCTTGCATCTGCATAAAAAAGAAAAAAAAAAAAAAAATACAGTTACGAAGTCATTCATTGCAATTGTTTTGTCGACGTTTGGTTCAATAAGCTTTAAAGAAATAAAATGGCGCAAAATATTCAAAATAGTTTTCTTTTTGACTCCAGTACATTTTACAACTTTAGTTTACTACATACAAAAAAAAAATAAAAATAAAAAAAGAACTTAATACACCAAGTGAATTTGTATTGTTTTTGATATATGTCTGTAGTGTAACTTATCTCTTTTGAACTGTCGATTCCAAGTGGCAGTGTCTTTGCTATGACAATGGCGGACTTTACCGAAGATATTTACGAAACCAGGAGATGAAAAGAAGACCGACTCTGTGAAAAGAGTCAACTCCACAATAAAGTAAAAATAAATAAATAATAAAGACTCGCGCGTGAAAACCTTTTTAGTTTTTAGTTTTTAATAAGTCAGGCCTTTAAATAAAAATAAAATACCACCGATTATGCCGTTATTTCTGAGGCCACGGGAAAGCTAGTAGCACGTTAAGATTATTTTGAAAATAATTTCCATGGTTTCACCGAACCCATGTTCAAAGAGATGCATGTTAAAAAAGAAACAGAAGAAAAAAAAATTACTGTTTGGGGAGGAAAAAAATCATTAGAATTTGGAGAGAAAATTCGTTTTAGTTAACACTTGAATTATTTCCCCTTTCACATTAAGCCCAGCTTGTAGTGTAGGCAAATGTGGATATGACAACGCAAAGCTTGTTTCTTGTGATGAGAAATGACGTTTCGAGTGGCAATTCCTCCTGCCTTCTTCAGACTGGCAGCGAACTTTATTCACCTCCTCCTACCAACGTTCATATCTTTCTGAACAGAGCAGTAGTCAACGAAAGGTTTGAAAAGCAGGCAACTAGCCGAAACGTGCACGCTTCGCTACAAAAACCGTCGAGTCGGAACAAGACCAACTTCGCTCTTGTTTTAATAAAAAAATGAAGATTACTCTGACAATAATCGAAAATTCTTTGCTATGAAAACAAAACGTGTCCACTTATATAGCTATCTGAATAATCTGAGTTAATTTATTTTTAAAGAGATTAATTTTGTCATCTTAACGTTGAATAAGGGACAGAAAGAATGTGTTGCGCCAACCTTCCAAACAATTTCGCCTTGAAACTAGGCGTCGAATGTGCGCGCGCATGCGTATTGAATGTCCCAAAATAAATTCACCACTTATGCTTTTCCAAACGTGTCCCATCATTTATTACTACTAATACTGCTGCTACCATTTCTCTGCTACTGCCGTGACTGACTTCCTTTTTTTTTTTTTTAATTTATATCAATTTTTTTTTATAATAAAAATTATCATGTAAGACAATTTGAATTCAAAATTTTTTATGGATCATCATAGTAATTGATAATATCGTACTATAAACTTCTTAGCATTCTACGTGATTAACAAAAACTGGTTAGTGTTTAAAAAGAGTCTTTTTTTTGCCATTATTGGCATTTCAATTAAAATTTACTCGAACTTTTTTTTTTAATATTTAAAATCTCACTTTTGGTGAAGAAAGACAATCAGGCTTTTACAAGCATAACATTGATATCATTATTACTTTTCATTTCAATAGAACAATACAATCAAAATTTATTTTTATTTAATTTTCATTACGTCTTTTTTTTTTTCAGAATTATTCAACTAAAAAAAAAAAAATGGATAAATAAATCATAGATGCTAATTAATATTTATTTCCGTTTTCAGTTCGAAGATTGTTTTTTTTATTTTTTGGTCTACAAAATTATTTAGTACGAGCATTACAAATCAGTTAAATATTCCCCCCAAACATCAAGAAGATCCACTCGTATTTCGCGTTCTTACCCTTTTACTCGTTGAAGACGAACTTGTGCGAATCCATAGTCGGAACATCACGTGACAGCAGCTTATTGACCAATCATTTCTCGTCTTTGTGGTCACGTGACTCAGAAACCTAAACTCTGATTTCAAAACTTTACTTATAAAATGATCCCGTGTGAACTCTCGTTTCTATTATTCATTAAAAGCCAAGTTGATATTTTTATTCAAGAAGCCAGACGAGATATTCTGATTTTTTTTAAAATAATAAAAGTACTTGTCAGTAAATAAATAGAGTGTGAAACGTTAATATTTTTCAGTGAATTATTTCTATTTAAAATTCGTTATCCTGGGAAAAATAACCATAGGCTCCCTATCATAGGCATTCATGAGCTTTAATTTTAGTTTTTTTTTTTTTGTTACATATAATAATCTGATTTGTTACTTTGTAGACCTAAATATATTCATTACATTTGATGATTGTAAATGTAATGTAACTTAATTTTGTTAAGTACACGGGGAAAGCACTAATTCACTATGCGTAATTTAATATTTTTTTTTTTATTCAGTACTAGTTTTTAATTAAAGTGTAAGAATTCATAAAAATACAATTACTTGCTAAAAAAAAAAAAAAAAAAAAAAATTGTTTACAAATGACACATACAAGAATCGAAAGTCGAAATTTTAGAACTTTTGAGTTGATTGAAAAACTGTAGTGCACACACACACACACACACACACAGAGTATCTGTCTGACTCACTCAGTCCTCCCACCCCTTTCCTGTGCATAAGATTCAATTTGATCACGCAGGGAAGCCAGAAATCTATCAAGGAACCTGCTAGCTGTAGAAAGAGAGGAAGTTACCAACAGCAGTAGTCGGTGCTCGAATTTTTAGAGTGCCGATTTTCTGAGCACGCAACAAACATCGATATATTGAAGCAATGTCTCCCCCTCCTTTTCGAACAGAAATCATGTTCGTAAAATAAAATCTGTTATACACAACACTTACTCTTCGTGTAATAAAAAAGTGGGGAAAAAGAAAAGAAAAAAGGAAGTAATTTTAAAAATCTTTTACACTTTTTCTAGAGACGAACCCCCTCTTCCCATTTTCAGGATAAAACTAATTTGTAGCTGGTTTATAAAATTTAGTAAATAATTCACTTTTACATTTTTCTATAAAAAAACAAAACAACAAAAACCTGTAGTAGTGGGGATATTGTTTAAAAGTTACAGTACGTTTGGCATAAGGCCAAACAGTTCTGAAGCTACATACTCGTGTAGAGGGGGGGTATTTTAATTTTATTCTGAAACTAAAATAATTAAATTAAAACTATTTTAATTTTCAACCGAAAATATCGCATTATGTTTTTTTTTTGTTTATGTGTTTCAGTTTCAAAAACTATTTTTGTGCAGACTTGCTTTTTAAATTCGTTTTTGTTATAATTCAAAAAGTATAAAAAAATATTAGCCATTATCTAATAATAGCCTCAAATTTCAAAGTTTAAGTTAAATTAAATTAATGTGCTAAAAAAAAAAAAAAAAAAAAATTATAAATCTTGTACTTTGCAAGCGAAATTTAAAAAGATTCAGATAAAGGTTTGATAAAATTAAACTAAAATTAATTCAACATTTGTCTTCGGTGAAGTGATGCCATTTTAAAAAAATGTTTCAATATTATTCAATAATATTGTGTATTATTTATTTTTAATCGTTTTTATTTTATCTCATAACTAAAACGTCCATGTTCGGTGTTTGAGTTGGGGGCGGGGGTAAATGGATTGTTCGGTTTTCTACAGAAAAAGTAATGACTGGATTCGATAATAATACCCTCTCCCTTGTTCTTGTGGGGGGGTATCTTAAATTAAGATTCTTTTTTATTTAAGTACTCTTTAAAATCTCTGCTTCTGCCTCGCAGACATTACCAAGGGCAAGAAGGCAAAGAAAACCCGAAACAGAATTGAGAACTTCTCTCGTCGTAGTTATTATTGTAACCAACATAGGCAGATAACCAAATAGTCAGTTGGACAGAAATATCTTTTCAAAGTTTACGTAAATATGAGTTGGCCAGTTGTTGTATAGCGAAGTACACGAGATGTGTTGGGGAAAAGACTGATCATGTCTTCGCTGAAACAAGAATCCTCTCTCTCTCCTATCTTTCTTTCCAGTAGCAGTCTTCCCAATTTAGAGAGACCATTAAACTAATTTTATCAGTTCTCCTTATAGTAACGATGATAATAATAAGGTATTTTTTTTATGTCATGAAGCCAGTCACTAGCGGGGGACGTCAATTAGTATCTTAAATAAGAACAATACCACGCTGGAATGAACCTGGTAAGATATCGAAGAGGGGGAGGACAGAGCGAGTACGAACGGACGGACGGTAGAAAAAAAAAATGGTTGTGGTGAATTGGCGAAGGTAGGGTTTTGTCTTGTCAGCCAGCCCCATCCTTCACAAAAGGGTTTGTACTGGTGGGGGTGTGTGGCACCAGCCAGCACAACATATGATAACCATTCCATTGCACTACGCATCCCAGCACATTGGTTGTATCGATCCAAGAAGACCGGAGCACAGTTCCCATTGATGTGGGGATGGGAGAGAATAGCAGGAAGAGTTGGCAGGGACAGAAAGAAAGGGGTTTATTGTAGCTGACAACACTGCAGCCCTTAGTCGAACGGAACTCTCACAAAATTAGATCATTCATACTCTACTAACGCCAATACGTTTTCCTTTTATTTCCAGTCATATTAAAAGAAAAAGAGAAAGAAAAATTGTTTTGCCTACAGTGGATTGTCGTATCATTGGCAACTTCTGTAAGAAACAAAAAAATTATCAAGTAATATTGATTAATAATTAATTTTATATTTTTAATCAAACCTAATTGGGAGCAAGTAATAAAACTAATATCAGGGACATTCTCGAATAATTGAAAAATTTAAATAAAAAATAAAAATAAAAGTATTGTAAATATATTTCCTTTAAGTTACAGCGTCAATATATTGGAAAAGGAATAAAAGTTCTAAGTGCAAAGGTCTATAAGAAGAACCGGTTAATTGTTAATATTTTATTTTTAAATGGTGAAGCAGTTTTGTCAAGATATAGCAACTGACAACCCCCACCATTTATAAATTTAAAATTTAAACCCAGAATGGTATTTTATTTAAACTAAATAGAAATACCAGATAGAAAAATGTTTTAGCTGAAGGTTTTAAAAAAAAAAAAAAAAAATTTTTTTGCCTGTATTTTCTTCCAGCCTAAAGTATTTTATTTCTGAGGTTTAATGAAATTTAGTTTCATAGGCTGTTCTATAAACCAGCCTTATACCATACTTGACATGGTTTAGATAAATCAAGGTCTTCCATTATATTAAAGTTTTCATAAAAATTCTGATGTGCCCATAAAGCTGTGTCTGAAGAAGTGTAATATATCTTTTCTTTCCACCTTTGTCTACACAGACCTCTCAACCCCATAATTAGCAGAGGTTATTTTTGGCCACATCAAAGTTGCTCCTCGATTGTTCTTAAATCATTTTTATTTGCATCAGGAATTTTTTTTTTCTTAAAGAATAAAAAGCAGAAGGCATCACTAAATTCACTATTATTGTATGCGATGATGATACAGCAAAAAACACTGAAGTCTGACCATAATGATGAACCACAGGAGAGACAAACTTTGCAAATATATGGCTTTCCATCACAGCACATTTAAAAAAAAACAAAACAAAAAACAACCAAAAATCAGTTTCTATTAATATTTGTAGTTAAAATATTAAACTACACACACAAAAATAGAATAAAAAGAACAGTTGTTTTTATAGAATTTTTTTATTTACATTTTGGTTCAGTGTAATATATTTTCCCCATTCTGATATAAAACCTCTATGGTAAGACAATCATGAGATCCTAACTTTATTTACATGTGCTAATAAAAAAAAAAAAAAAAAAAAAATAAAAAAATAAAATAAAATAAAAATCCCCGCTAAATATAAATTTCATGTATTATGAAGGGCTATTAAAAAAATAAAAATAAATAAATAAAATAAGAAAAATTTGAAAAGAAAAAGAAAATAGAAATAAAAAAAACAAAAGAAAAAAAACAAACAAATATTCAACAAAATAAACTTTAGTATACATTTTTGTTGTTATAATAAAATCCTCAAACCAAAATAACAGGTGTTCATTAGTAAATTGGTGTCTGGAACCAGAAAACTTCTTAGAGGTCCACAGGAAGATAAAAATACAGACCCCCTTACAGACACACACACACACATCAAAAGTGGCTTGGCTATCTAAGTTCAGTGTTTATTACTTATTAGCATATTCAAAATATGTTCTATTGACTGCTTTAGACGAAACAGTTTCAACTGAAAGAATAAACATTTTTATAAAAAAGATACTTCGTTATAAAAAGTTTTTTTTTTCTTATTTTAAAATTTTATTTATTTTTTTTTGTAAATTATTTTTGTCATTTTAAAAAATTTAAATATATATATATATATATATATATATATATATATATATATCCCATCCCTGTTTATTTTAAACATTTACTTTTGGAAGAAAACTGTCGAGTCAGATTTTGTAGAGGCAAAATTTTGGCAAGGTTTGCAACATAAGGACATGTTCCTCCATTCTATAAGACAAGGCAGAATTTATTATGGCACTTAAATTGAAATCGTTGAGGAGGGGGTGGGAGAAAAAGGAAGGAAGAAAGGAAGGAAGAGAATCATTGAAGAATGTTGTATAGAAAGATGGACAATGAATGTTAATGCATTGAATATAAAGAGTAAGATGTGAAAATGGAGGAACATCCTTTCAATACAGAGCTCAAGAGAGTTGGTGAGAGAGGGGAAAAAATAGGTCCAAATTCTATTAGTAAATAGAAAGGTCTATACTCTCCTGAGCAACAATATATGGTTAATAATAATAATAATAGCTGGCAAATAGTGGTTTCCAAGCACATGCGTACCTGCCTGCTAGGGCTGGACTAGCAAAACCCTATTACAGATGTCTTATGTTTATACTGCAGACATGCTGAGCAGACTTTAGTTACAGTGCATAATCTGGCATGATCACTTTTTTTTTTTTTTTTTTTTGAACAGAGCCTGTATGCCCAAATCCTTGGTGACTTAAATGGAAACACAACCATTGAGAGTTTCTGAAAAGTTCCACCTACCCAATGTCACTAACAGGGTTTGGGTGAACCTGTGATATTGTTTACAGGTGCTTTCCAAAAGGCGCTGTGTGCAGAGTTTGCTTTCCCAGGCTGATGACATCAGAAAGTCACCTTTCCAGCTAATTGCCCATGGTAAGATTTGAACCCGGGTCTTATGGTCAGAAAGTGAACATTTTAATCAATTGGCTACGTGCCTATCAATATATACCTTAAATGATGTTAAAAAGTGAATGGAAACTCTAAACAAACACTTCTACCTGGGTTTCTTGTTTTTATGCTGACAATTAAAAGAGTTGATCAGCAGTGGGGGAGGAGGTAGGGGGATGTGGGATAGGGAGAGAGAGAAGAGATGACCTGTCATGCTTTTTTTAGGTTTAGAAGAAAACAAAACCCTCAGCCTTCATTGGGCCACTCCTCTCCACTCTTGATCATGAAATGGGGGTGGGGTGCAGCTGTCATAAGAGGGTCTGGTCACTCCTTTACTATGGAGAACAACTGCCAGTTAAGATGGGCAGTGAGCAGGACAATCTTTGGAATTGTTTTTTTGTTTAACTCCGGAGAAGCAATGAATAGTAGAAAAGGAGAAGGCCTCTTAATTTTTATAATTAAAAAGATGTTTTAAAAAATAGACAAGGAAGAGAGAGAGAGAGAAAAAAAAAAAAAGTGATCAACGATTGAAATGTAAAACATTTGATAAATAATAAAGTATTAGCAAAATTATGCCAACAGTCAAAAAATAGAAGGAAAAAAATCTTTTGTTTCAGAATCACATTCCAGCTTGAATATGACATTAAAGCTAAGAATCCATTTGCTTTCTTGCAAGATTAATGTTCAAGGGTAAGGCAAAGTTCCCGAAAGTAGCAGAAAGAAAAAAAATAATGCTAATATTGGCAATAGTGCATTTATAAAATTGGTAAAATTTTGATTACATAATTCAAATGTTATATCATCAGAATAGTTTGTTGGATCATGGTTAATCTTAACCTTTTATTTAAATATTTTATTGCATAGTCTTAAATAGATAAGGGAAGGAAGAGACATAGAAACAATCCATGTAAATGAAGATAGAGCATTAAGGCATCACAACCAATTTGGGAATTTCGATGACAAAAAGAAAAAAAAAAAATTTCAAAGTCATTTGGCACTTTAAGTACTTGTCCATTTGAAATTTGAAGTATAAAAATTTTGGTCAGCAGAATTTTAGAATAATTTGTCCAGTATTTAGTAAAGAAACCAATGTTTACAATTTCAAAAATATGTAAAACTTTGGATGGATATTATTTCAGCACACACACACACAAATTCAGTTTCACAACTAAGATCTTATTCCTTTCATAATGACAAGGGCAGTGATAAACTTCTGTTGCTTCCAGCCTCAAAACATATCTACATTGTTGCATTTCAATTGAAGCACATCACCAACTGAGACAAGACAATACAATCCCTATGCCACATTATAGACTTACTTTAAGAAAAATAAGTAGAAAAAGAGAGAATTATTTAGAAAAGAAATTTGACAAATGCTCCAAACACTCAAATCAGAAAGATTTGTATTAATGACATTAGAGGCAACAGGTAAAATGTAACTATTTAAACAAAGTAGACCTTAAAAAGTTTTAAACTATCTCTAAATATACTGATAACTATTACAGCACTTTTTTTTATCAGACAGTCAAATAAAAGTTGAAACTTGTTAATACAGAGACTGAGTCAGCACAGGTGAAGAACAAGTTTGAATTTAAAGTTAATACAAGGCACTATTGATGATGAAACATTAACTTGTGTATATGAGTACAAGCTAACAATTGTGCTAATATTCATGAAATCAAATTCTAAGTGAATTATATTGGTTAGAACAGACCAAGTTAATTTCACATCTTCAGAATATGACATGTAAAAGTTACTCAAGGCTTATAGTGACTACTTAATTAACCTTCAAAATTAAGACCTCAAATCAGCTTTGAGAAAAACCTTTTTCACTTTGGGCAAGATTTTTTTTTAAAATTCCAAAGTCATTGAAATTATATTGATTAGATTATTAGAATAAGGGCTGTTATTTTAGATCATTGATGCATGAACAAGATGGTGTCAATGTTTCTACAAATATTAGCCTTTTAGAAGAGAAAGATGTAAATGAACATTAGCACCAATGATTCCCATACAAATTTGTCAAGCTCAAAGCAGGACTTGAACCTTTGCATCAAAATGTGGCCAAGTAATAAGAGAAAAGCGCTATTTACCATTTTAATGAAAACAAATTGGAAGAGAATTCTTCATATAAAAGCCTCTCAAGTGCTTTGCTTTCTATAGAAATTTGGAAGAAATAAGTTCTTTTGAGGCGAAT